ATTTAAGAGATACAAAGATTATATAAAAATGCAAAGGATATTTACAATATGGAAACCCCTAGCATAGACTCATATTTGCATTATTACTGTTATGATGAAATGGTAAACAAGTTAGCAGCTTTTTTGGCCCTTAATTTTAATTTTAAAAAAATATTGGCTATTCAATGCTACTTTTGAGTTAGTGACATTCACATTGTGGTGTTTTGTGTGTCATCTTGGGAAGAAGAATATATTCTTTGTTAGCAGGTGGAATTGATGTTATTATTGATTGTCACCAGAGAAGAATAACTTATTTGATCCTAGTGTTAAGTTATAGAAATAGACATTATATTACTTCCCCCCGAATGGCACAACAAGTTTTACAGAATGTTGAGTTATTGAGAGTCAAGTTTCTGGGACTCTACCATAATATAATATTGAAAGGAAATTGATAGAAAAAATTTTTTTAAAAGGGATTTCTACATGAAAAAGATTGGAAACTGTTGGTCTACTGAAAGCATCTTTAAGAACAACCAAGCCAGTAATTGAGAATAAGCATAGAGCAAAGTTCTAAAGATAGTATAATGTGTAGCATTTGGGAAGTTAACAGCTGCACTCCATTTGGGAAGTTAACAGCTGTTATATTATTAACTTTAGTCAAGAAACTTCCAGTTTAAATGCAACAGTTAAAGAAGAACATAGATAAGTTAAAGGAAGAGAATATGGCAGGTATCTATATAGTCAGGCTTTCTAGGGAATGCAATATTTTATGTAGATCTTTAAAATATCACCTATAGATACATTATGATTCTATCACTAAGGATGATCTAGTGAGAACTATGCTAAGTGCAGGCCTTATATAGCAATGTGCAAGTTGATGGGAGAATCTTTTAATTATTAAAAAAAAAAGTAAAAAAATTTTAATTTAAAATATTAAAAAAGTATCAGAATTTGGAATTAAGCTTTTAAGCTGTTTAATCTGATCTTTCAAAGTTTGAACTTAATTTTGTTCCAAATGTAGTCAGCTCTACAGATTTTAAAGCCTGTTCTTTAAAGAATGAAAATATTTCTCTATATAAATAAATTTTTTGGTTTCCTGAAATAAACATTTTGTTTTATTTATTTAACTTCTCTATATTTTCTTGAAGTTTCATAATATCATAAGCAATTATTATTCAATATTCAGTAAATTACTTAATAAAATTGAAAATTTTATTTATTAATTTTTATGATTAAATAATATATGATATATAATAAATAAGACAAACAGATAATGTTTTTTTGTTTAGCATTTTATTTGAAACATATTAAAATTATCTTTATCTCAATGAAATTTATCTCACAATTAAAATTACACATAATTGTCAATTTGGAGAAAACATCTGAAAATTAAAATACTGTAGTAGCTATTTATTTCACTGTTAAAACATTCAAATTATTATTAGTAATAATAATAATAATAAAACCATATTTAAAAGTTCATTAATTTTTTTCATTAATCTAAATTTATAATTATTATTTAACAAAACTATTTATATTCAATTCATGAATCTAGTGATATCCTATACAGTGGTACCTCAGGATACGAAATTAAACTGTTTCGAAACTCAGATCGTATCATGAAAATGTCATAAGGTGATTCATTTTTCCCCATACGATTACATGTAAAACCAAATAATTCGTTCCAGTACGAAAAACACTGAAATAATAACTATAGTAAGGAAAACACTGAAAAATGCATTTTGTAGTTGTAAATGTATAAATAACCATAATAGAATAATAATTGATTAAAAAAATGCAGTTTTATTTGCACTTTACCTCTGAGGATAGACAACCGTGGAGGTGTAAACTGGTGGCAGAAGAGAGGGAGAAGGGAAATAATACTAAAACTTAACTTACATAACATAATGCAACAATAACTTAAAAATAACTTAACACTAATTTTTTAATCTTTTCTGTTTCATTTTTTTTAATTTTTTATTCACTGCTTTTTTGCTTTCTTTCCTTCACTTCCACCAGCACTTTCAATGGATAGAGGTCACTTGGTAAAATATCTATCCAAAGAGGTGTGGCTTTGCCTACTTTTTAAAATGTCTCTAAAGTGACTTAGGCAAATGTCATTACCCCGAGCGGCAATACGGCCAGTGTAAACCTTTTTGGGATGTTTTTTTTCAATAAAATCAGTCACTTTCTGATAATACCTCGAGATTTCCTTTGTCGAGCAAGATCCTTCCACAATGAAGCAAACGCGCGGACCAAGACTGATGAACAAAAGTGAATAAAAAATGGCGCTGCAAACTAATGTGACGTCGTATGGTGAGTTTTTGTTCGTATCGTGGAGCAAAAATGTGTTCGAATTTTGTGTTGTATCCAGAAAATTTCGTATGCTGGGACGTTCGTATCCTGAGGTACCACTGTATGTATTATTGCCACAATAAAGTCTTTTTACTATCCATAAAGATTGTTAGTGCTATGCTAATGAGGACTGTCTTTGTTTAATTGTGATATAGTAAAAAGAACATGGGCAGGTACTGAACAAGTTATATAGCATCTCAAAGTCCGATGCTTTGATACTAAGCCAAACAAGAGCCATTAATAAATCGAGCAATTATTATGCTAAATTTAATAATAATAGTCCAATTATTAACGGCTCTCGTTTGGCTTACTGAACAAGTTATATGCAAAATGAGTCAGAAGCAAACCTTATGAACTGTAAGATAGAGATAAAATTCTTTTGCTATACAGTAGTGAATGATAAATGCAGCTATTTTTGCCTTAGTATTTTTACCACAAAGAAGTAACATGGAATGGAAATTATCACACAATAAATAAATATATGCTGTTAAATATCTTTTGCAGTATAATTTTATAAGAATGAATTAATAAACTTTCATAAAAAGAAAAAAATATGGTGGTGACCATCGACTTTAATGAATCAAAAGTACCAATCATAACCTACTGCAAGGAGAGATAAATTAAAAGCTGAAATACCCAAGAAGGAAATCAAAATAATGCACCTCCTTAGATTAATTTCCATCAATGCACATTTATTTTCTGCTGATTAATTTCCATCAATACACATTTATTTTCTGCTGATACTTGTGACATCATGTGTGCTATCATCGTTAGAGTAGTAGCATAAAAATTAGTAATTTTTTAAATGCTCTCTTCTAGACTTCTGGAATGGTTTTTTATGCTCAGCAAATGCAAATACCCCCCAACTATGCACATTTGCTAGATGTCCTTGTGCAAACACATAATTTGCAGTAATTTGTGAACTCTAAATGAGAGTCATTTGTGAACTCTGAATAAGAGTTTGCCACCCTCAGAATTATAGACGTTCCCATACAAGCAAAAAAGTCAATGGAACCATACATATACATATACTCACCTCCAAAGATCAAGATCAGTTTTCACTGCGAACCAGTCCTACTGCACGCAGTCACGCGCTTCGAAGTTCACTGTCACTAATTACCGTAATGTCCATGTGGAGCAAGCTGCCACACCCCTAAAACTATATAATATCAAGTATTACACGAACAATCAAGTGAGCAAATCAAAGCCAGCATAGTCACATGAGCTAAATAGTTAAACACAATAGTCTTAGTAGAGCAACATGATGCAACTCCCAATTGCACGCATCCCATAAGTAGGACGATTTCAGGGACTATATCTTGTAAAAGGAGTTATGTTTCCTTTGGCTTTTTTGCTCCTATGGATAAGGACTATAGTTCCGATAAGGTCTAAACCAGTGTTTTTCAATCTCTAACGAATCGTCACCCCCTTCAATAAAACCATTACGTACTATCGCCCCTTCACTTCAAAATTCTGATGCCAAGGGCCAAGGCTAACGCCAAATTCGTACTGCATTGAATAGACTAGTGACTAGTATTATGCTATTTATTTAATTATTGTATGATATAACGAATAAAATATCTAATTATTATTAATATAATGTTTTACTATATTGCCCAGAAAATTGTTTTTCGCCCCCCAAAATATAAATTGTTACTAATCACCCCTTCAACATGAAAAAACGCCCACATGGGAGCGATATCACCCCATTGAGAAACACTGGTCTAAACCATCTCGCTCAGAGGTAAAATTATACCCAATTTGCTAAAGCCATAATGATCTCAGTAACATAGCCAGGAAGATACCCGACCCTCCTTTACCTTTGTAAATAAATACATTAATAAAAAGATCAAATAAACACAGGAAAAAATATTTGAACACAACCAATGCCCTTCTACACAAGCATATACCATATCAAGTTTACTCTTCATCCACAGCAGTACAAAGGCCTGTAGGACATTTTAATTTGAACCATCCCTAAATATCGGTTCTAGTTACACATTACCAGTGCAGATTATAAGTCGACCGAGCCCGTATATAGCAATCATTTTAAATTATTGTGGAATAAAATAAAACTTTCCAGTTTTAAAAATTATAATAATAATTATTCCACTTTTAACATTTTTATAGGTTTTTTTCCCTTTTAATTTATTAATTCTATTCCAATTTTTTTTTTTTAACAAAATTTTATTACATTGCTTAATATAAATTATTCCATTAATACATGAGCAAATGTTAGAGAAATGATTATATTTGGCATAATATTTTAATGATTTCTTTTATATGATTTCAAAAATATCAAGAATCAATCTGTCAGAATTATTGAACACAACTAAAATAAATCTTCTTTATTTAGCACTTAAGAAAAACACAACGCTTTATATATTTTTTCGTGCATTTTTTCATCCAAATTCATTAACTCTTCTTAATTGTAACACGATGAAAGTAGCATGACAAATGCATGAAATGTACAAGAAAAAATATATATATAATATATAAACATTAAATTTTTTCATTAAAAAAAAATCGATTAAACAGTTTCTTCTTTAATAATAAAGAACCATGCAAAGTATAAAACGTCAAAGAGAAAATAAAATTATTGAAAATTTAAAAATAATTCATGCAATATTTAACAAAACGAGGAAAAATCCCATATAAAAATCTACCTGAGCTTCTGCAGCTTCTGTCAAAGGAGTTTGTGTATTAGCGGCAACCCAGGCTTCGGCAAATGTTTCCATTACTGAATGGAAATCCATTCTTTCGAATCCTTTTTCTATAGTAAATAAATTCGGTATATTTTTTCCTCTTTCAAAAACTTTCACTTCTTCCAGTTGTTCAATGGTTTGTTTGTGGCGCCACCAAACAGATATAAAATATTTTTCTAAAATCCATCGGCACTTGTCCATAACCCGTTAAAGATGTAGCTTATATAATATTTAACGTATATCGATATTTTCTTTCTTTCTGTAATTAATAAACGTTTTAAAACGTTATTTAACTTATAATTATTAATATCTATATTATATTAATCGAATATATAATTTATCGATTTTTCGAAAATTTAAAAATTTACGAAATCAATTTAAAATTTTTATAATAATGTTAAAACGTTAATTTCTTTAAAATTTTAACGTATTTGTAAATTATATGTTCCGTTTGAAATTTATTTAGTCGAATTTTTTAAAATGGATCGCGTTTTAATTTGTTAATTAATTTTTTTTTTGTGACTAGAATAGTAGGTGGCGCTATGATTTTTCCCGCGAAAATTTTCTTATCAACGTGATTTGTTATTGTTTCTTGTTGAAGTCTGTGTCATTTTCAGTTAATAATTTTCGTATTTATCGAATGAATATATAACTTGCGGATTGTCTAAGTGTTTCGAAAAGACAATATGGCACTTGATGTTGATCAGCGTCTCAGAGATATTCAGAGAGAATATCTTGATTTTTTGGACGACGACGTAATGAAGTTTAATGTAAGGAATTTATATTTAATATTATCTAATTATTAATTTTATAATATAATATTGTAGGTGGATCAGGGTTATTACAGTCAGAGTGTTAAAGATATGATTACGGATAATGGATGTCGTCTTATTGTTAATATTAATGATCTCAGAAAGAAGAATCCTAAACGAGCTCAGGAGTGAGTATTATTTTGAATGTTATATATTAGTCAAAAAATTAATATGTTGATTAGTGAAAATATTTGTTTTATTTAATAAGAAAAAACTCTGATTATCTGCTTCTCAGATATGAATAGGAATAAAATTTTTTTATACTAAAAAACACTCCATGTATAAAAGATGGACTTGTACCGATTATTAGTAATTATGGAATTAATTTTTTAAATAAAATTAAATTTTTTTGGTAATTATTTTTATTGAGTACATTTTTTTTCTTCATTTTATTTTAAAAAAGAGGCATATTTATTTAATAGACATTTCCAAAACAGAATTTTTTCTGGATGACCTGCTTATAAAGTGTTATAAAGAAAAAACCATAGGACTACTTACCAACTGTGCCCCATTAGAGATGCTGTTACTTCAGCTTGTTGTGGAGCTGCACGTTAGACTGCAGATGCACACAAAGCGTTTCACGTGACCTTGCTTTTACAACATTTGGTCGTGTGACCACTAGTGATGGGATGATACCAAAATTTCTCCAGATTCCAATTCTGATTCTTTTGAATACTTTATAAACTTTATTTTAGTTTAGAAAAATTAATGGTTTACATTACGAGCACAGTACATTCATTAATAAACATTAAGCTTAAGAATGGAAAACAATCAGGAAATCCAGAATCAATCTTTTGAAAGAAATGTGAAAATTCTCCATTTATATGTGGATACACATGCTGTTATGGTGTACTACGAAATAAATTTGTAATCTTATTTCGGATAAAGTTAATGTTGCAACACTAACCCTGAAGAAATTACATCTAATTTCCTATTACTCAATGAACTATCCCATTGTGTCAGATAGGGTCACCATCTTTGGAAACTGCTTCGTTGGCCAATGCGTTAACTGGGGTAGAGGAAAGTAAATGAGAAGATGCATTATTTTCGCAATGGGTATGTGTTGTAAATGATTTAATTCTGTCGTATTTAATACTAAATGAAGTTTGGAAAATGATGCAACAAGCCAAACAAATATCATTATCTCAAGTTAACTGATTTTCGAATTTGTTTACTTGAGTGATGAATATCTAGACCGGGGATGTCCAGCCCACTTAATATTTTTATGTGGCCCACTGCACCCTAAATTTTTTAGGTATATTTTCATTCATTTTGGTAAAGTAAGTCGCTTATTCTTGTTTCAGTGGATACACTTTGATGTCATAATGGCGTAATTCGTGTTAGAAAACTGTTATGCATGTGGGGATAGTACATAATGTGAAGGTCGAAAGAAATAGGTTGAGTGATTGCCATTTAACTAACATTCTTAGAATTAAGAGTAGTATCATAAAAATAGATATTGACATTATTATAAAAGGAAGGCAATGTCAAAAATTGCACTGAATTTATTTTTATTTTGTGTGAGTGTAATTTCTTTTTTTACTGTCAATAATACAGTATTTTTTAAATAATTTATATTTGTTATTAAAATTTGATATTCACATTTTGAACTTTTTAAAAGCAAATATTTATATAAAGTACCTTTGTAGCCTGCTGAATATACCTAAATTTCTAATTTGGCCCTTTAGGTAAAAAGGTTGGACAACTGATCTAGACGACCAACTCATTTTGAAAAATACATTTTTAAAATTCAAAATGGTGTTAAACTTAGCTTGAACAAGTATTTTTACTCAGAAATATGCAAATTGCATTTGAAAATTTAGCATATTATGGCATCATCTATGGAATCATAACAAAATCTTTAATACTTATAATGAGAAAGTTGTTTTATCATTATAAGTAAAACATACTAAATATTAAAAATAATTTTTTATAGTATTTTTCATTAATTGAAAAATAATATATAATTTAATTTTGTTTACATTTCAAAATGTTTTGCCAATTGCTTGCCTTGATTTGAAACTAGATAGCCCAATAGTTTAATTAATGTTAACTTGCTTATAATTAAAGATTTTTAAAAAGCAGGCAAATTTGTGAAATAAAAATTAATGAAATTACTAAAAAATTCAAGTAAATTTAAATTTGATAATCTTTTGTTTGAAACAACACTAAAACAATTTGTATAGTTATGTTGCAAAAGAAAAAAAGAGTTGCATTAATTTAAAAAATTGTAATTAAGGATTAAAAAAATGCAGGCAAAATTAAATAAATAAAAAATTATTAAAAATAATAATAATTAAAACTCTGGTCTTTACACTGAAACCAAAACTAACAATAAAATTAAATTAATTAAAATTAAAATCAAATCAATCAAAAATTAAAACAATGTTTTTAAAAATTTTATAAAAGTTGTTTTGAAATTTTCAAATTGTAAATCAAATTAATTTTAAAATTTACATTATTTGTGTGCAGCAGTGACAGAAAATTTTACTTTTAATATTTATTTAGATATAGATATACAGAATACAGATTGCTGATCAAGCTAGCCCAATGGCAACCCTATCTTTCCTAAAAGGAGACAGTTAGAATCGATCAAGTGCAATCTCTCATTGCTCTGACTAAACAAAAGAAAAGTCTATTGTGACAGACATCACCTCGTATAGTCGCTGCGTACTTTCTGCTTTATCAATGTGAAAGTTTTCAATAAACTAATATTTAATTAGTAATATCATAATTTAAAAAGTTTTTAATCTTTGAAATAAAAATTAATTTTCTTATAAAGTGTGGAAGAATCATTTTTAAGAATCAGAAATTGTAACGAGATTTTCTCATTTCCTATTCTGATTCTAATAGACAGAAAATGTCTGATTTTTCCGATCCCCAATTCCAGTTCTGATGAACCTATTCGATATTGAATATTTTCTCCGTCACGTGTTGGTCCACATTGAATTTTTTTTTATGTTAAGCCTAACGCGATCACATGTTTTAGAAAAATAATAATTGTGGCTATCGTATTATTTCGAATTACTTTATATTTCCTATACACAAAATAGACATATTAGGGAATGTAAAAAACAAAAAATTTTATTTTAAAAGTTAATTTTAGTGTGATATATCTCAAAACAAGGTACAACACACAGTGGAGCATTACATTTTACACATTGATAACGTGATTCTGCACGTTTTTTGATAGCCGAACATACTTTACATACTCTGGATGAATGCTTTTTTTTTTTTTACTGTAGGTGGTATAAAACTAGGAAAATGCCGTTTGGATAAACGTAATGGATTTTCATGTGATGGTCGACCACAGCGGGCTAGATGTCTGCTTGTGTGATACTTCTCTATCACTTCTCTGATAACAGACATACGAAAATCTAGAAATGATATTTGTTTTTTCGTATGTTTTTGATATAAAATACAAGCATTATATAATGTAATATCCATCACATAAAAAAAAAAACACTTTTTTGTACCATTTTACCGTTTTCCTCATGCATGGATAATTGTGTATTACTCCATCACAGAAATCGATACCACCCATATTGCTATTATAATCCAAAATACAATTTGGCTTCATTATTACTTCCCCAGATCTGTCACGTTTACCCGAATCAGAGAATTTATTGTCACTCATCATGCTTAGAATTGCCACATCCCTTTTGTCTTTCCAGCAGAACACAGACAATTTATCTTTTTGACAGGTGATAAATTCCCCTTCTTTCAATTTATGATCAGGAAAATTATGTGGCATTCCTATCCAATTTTTATTTACTTTTCCACATACATAGGTTTGTTTGTCTAGAAGCATTTTTGCTAAGGTTGGTGAGGTGAAAAATCTATCTAAATAAACCTTGTGATATTTACCGAACAACAGTTCTAATAAGGTTAGCACAACCTTTTCTCCTTGCCCACCTTCAAAATTATCGTATTCAGTAATAGCTTTGGTATAAACTATAAAGTCCCAAACATATCCTATTTGTGACTCACAAATTTTGAAGCTTTTCACTCCAAAACAAGCACGCTTGTTTGGTATACATTGCCTAAATCCCAATCTCTCTTTCCATAGCATAAGACTTTCGTCTACACAGATATTTTCCTCTGGGAGGTATGCATTTTTGAACTTGTGGCATAAATGATCGATAACACTGCATAATTTATGCAGTCGATCATCACCACCTGAAGCTTGATTATTGTCTGTAAAATGCAGACAGGACAATAAAAGTTGAAAGCGGTTGCTCAACATCGCACTTGAAAAAAAGGGTGTCAAAAAAAGATCTTCGATTGTAAAATACATGCTTAGGCGCGGTTTTCTAATTATACTTGTGACCATTATAAGTCCTAGAAATTCTCTAATTTCTGGATTTGTCATTGGTTTCCCATTTTTTATCTGACTATTCTCTCGTAAATCATCACAGTTTAGCAAACTATCACCATATCTGTTCATTTCTGAAACAATCTTGTCGACAAGTTCGTCATTGAAGAATATACTGAAACAGTCAAACGGTGTAGCATCACTCCATAGATTACATTGTATTCCTGATGGTCTTGTAAAACTGTTCACTTGAGGATGTCTGAAATTTGTATGAATCCATCTGTCATCACTACTAAATCACAGACATTTAGCAGTATTACTTTGAGTACTGCCACATGATCTGCCTCTATATCCACTCGTAAATGATAATTCAGGATCAAAATCATCACTGTCATCACTTACATTTTGTTCTGGTATGTAATCATCGTTGCTGTCTGAAAATTCAGATTCATCAGAACCTAAATTGAATAAATATTCGATAACTTTTGACTTATTTAGAGCGCTGTGTCTACTACTTGCTGCCATGTTGAAAAACAGAAATGAAATGGTCTAATTTTCTTTGTGGTTTCTAACAAAGAACTATTCCTAGAATTTTGATAACCTGCTGAGCAAAAACTAGATAACATAATGGTTCTTTTGATATGAGTCACTTATTTCAAAACAACATATAAGTAGTGACATTTGATGTTTAAAAAACGTTCCAATGTAAACACGAAAATATTCGGGATCTCCTATGCAGGTCAATGAGGTCAACACAAATATTTTCGGGAACAATGTACGACAGGTTAATTGTCTCATTACTAGTGACTACATCTCTGACATGTTTCTGGACAACTTATTTTTCTCATGGAAAAATTCATTCTTTTACACTATTCTTTGCAGGCATCACATGATAGAGCAATGACATCTTATTCCTAACACGTGATTACTTCTTTTGTGATTCCAAACAGCTTGTGGACCACAGTTTGATAAAAGTTTGATCAACTTTGCTTTACTTATTCTTCCGTAACATCATAACATTCTATAACAAAATCCGTTGAATTAAGATTTGACAATGATGATTTATTTTTGTGGATTATAACAGTGAAAAACAGAACAAATAAAATAATAAATAATTGAATTACTTTAAATTTCATTAATATACAAATTTGCATCTCATATATTAATTAATGAACTAATATACATTAATATACAAGATGCAGATTTGTTATCATGTGCTTAGAAAACTTTTTATGTTACCCCAAAAAAAGATAATTATAACAACTCAGTTAAACTGTGGGTTGTTAATATAAAATTATATAGAATACATTAGCTGTAAAATTTAATTTGGTAAATTTAAATTTTGTAAATTTCAAAAATATTTGAAATTTGAATTCAGTTTGAATGTAGAATGCAATAGAATGAACCATTCTAAATGGAACATGTATAACTGACCTGAAGCAGTACAGTAAAGCTGTTCGAAAATGTTTGTCATTTTTAAAGTAATACTGGAATTAAGCAAAGTCTACCAATGTGATTAATAATTATAATTATATTTTGTATTTTCACTTATTATTAAATTCAGCTAATATACATTTTCATTTTTTTATCAAATGAATACATTTTATTGTTATATAATATATTCTACTAAGAAATTAATATGATTTTAAAAAATTCTAAACACTCTATCTCTCTATTTATATGATACTATTATAAATTAAATTAAAGGTAGTAATTTGGCATTTATAATGATTCACTTTTTCTAAAGCATTTTATTGATATATCAATATTAAGTTCAAAGACACTGAATTACAAGATAGACTTTAAATATGACTTTAAACTCTTTATTTTAACAATGTAAATTCGTCTCTTTAATCCAAAACACACGCTTTGGTAGACTTTGTTAATATAACATACAGCAAACCAACTATATATATCTTTATTTTAATCGGTGATTCTTCATGTTTATTTTAACATGAAGAATCACTGTGCTGTTGCATGAAAAAATGTTTATTTTTATGTAACATTTTTTTTCTTCTTTTTACTGATTTTTATTTATTTATTTATTTACTGTACATTTAAACTCTGTTTTTCTCATATATGAGTTAGTTTTCTTACAAAATAAATTATTTATCAAAGTTTAATTAAATTTTTATAGTACAGCTCAGTTTAGATTTGCTTTAATCTGATCAGTATTTCCTCTGAATTGGAAATGACAGGGATGTTTCTCTAATTTATTGGTGGTTCTCTTGGAAAAGTTTATTAATGCTAAATAATATAAAAAGTAAATAAATAAATAAAAGTTATGTAAAATATGTTGATGCATATACATACTTTGTTAGGTTTATCTTATTTTTTTATTTATAATTCAAATATTTTTTAAAGTTAATTTCAGATATAAAGTAATGAATAATGAAATAGAATAGCAAATATAATTTTGATATATCTGAAAAACTATTTTTGTTTAGTATGGAATCTAAAGTTGCAGTTCTCATTTTATTTATGATTAATTAACACAAAAGCATTGTCATGAGGACAATATTAGCCTTTCTCTATACAATAAAACATGTAACAAATGTATTAAAAGTATTGTAAAACAATAACAAATAAGTGTAAAAACTACATGTATAGAAATACATAAAATTAATGACAATAAGATTAAACATTAAAGAGATATATACAGTAGTCTCTACAGTTTATCACTTGTTGGTTCACTCGGTTCAGTAATCTGATATTCCACAATATGGTGTGCATGAAATTTTTGTGTTATTTCTTGTTGATGTATGTGTACAGTCAGTCAGTAGTTGTTTAATGCACATGTGGTTAGAAAAACAGTTACATTTATATTTAATACAATAAGCTAACTTGTGAACCAAGATTGTTTTTTACTGTATAATACATATGTACAAAATCTAATAATTGATACCTGCCAATCCAATATATGTTAGATTACAGAGACTCTACTATAAAATTCTTTTACAATTGGATTTGTATAAATGATACTTTACATATAACATATTTTCTACATTTACAACTCATTTATAATAATGGAAAAAAAATCAACAGTCACAATTGTGATTAATATGACAAACTAACCTGTAAACCAAATGCATTTTTCTTTACTGTACAGTACATACAGTACACACATACAAAATCNAAATTCTTTTACAATTGGATTTGTATAAATGATACTTTACATATAACATATTTTCTACTGTAAATATAAATTTTTATAAATTTATTAGTTATTAATATATAATAACATAAAAAGAAAGATCTGATTGAAGTATTAAGGTGACAGAAAAAACATATAGACATGAAGTATTTCCAGTGTAAGCAGGAGTTCATAGGCTAATATAATTTAAAGGAATCATTCCATTAAAGTATCTAAAGTAAACAATTGATCAAAGTCTAATTAAGCATTAATTATATCAAGTTAATTGTTCTAGTTCAATTTGATAATTGAGTAATTCTAGTTAACTCAGTAAATTTTATAATTATCAAATAATGCATAAGAAATGTAACTACCAAATACAGTGGATGATCGGTTAATGAACATAATCTGTTCCAAGACTTTGTTCGCTATCTGAATTGTTCATTAACCAATTATCGATTTACCATAGGTTTCTATGGGAATTTGATTAATTCATTCTGGAGACTCCCAAAAAATAAAAAATATATACTTTCTTACTACATTCATTCATATGTAATAATAAAAATACATATATACACAGTGTTGCATATTTATTTGTCATGTTTTTTCCGTTTGTGGGGGTTAAAGAATCTGTCCAATGTCAATTGCTTTTCTGTCTTCTTCATGATTTTTCAGAAGTAATTAATCTCATTGTAATTGTAGAGATCCCTAATACCCCGTTCGCACACAATCCACGATTCACTTCAATCTCGATTTACCCACAATCTGGATTGTGACTGTCGCCAGTGGAACGTCGTGCTGTTCGCACAGGTAACTCGCTTGAGAAGAACCCGGCTATTACACGCGATGATAAAATTGACATAACTATGCGATAAGTCACGAACACCAACAAACAGAATGGAAGTTTTGGTTAGAAATAAATACTTTTTCTTGCCGTATATCTAATAATAGACAGATGTCATCGTCTCTCCAGATGTGTTTTTTATTTTTCTGTCGATAGCCGGACACATGTTCAGCAGCCATCTTGTATTTCCTCGGGCGCGTGGGATTGTGGGATCTCTCTTATGACTGGATCTAGTTTCAAGAACTCTCTCCAGTCGATCGTGATTTAGCCTCGTTTCAGTCGAGATTGAAACGGTCGAGAGTGTTTGCACCACGGAACTCTCTCCGACTTAAGCCACAATCTAGATCGAAATGCTCGGTGCGAACGGGGTATAAGCCTATTAACCTCAATCTGGTTTGGATGCCATTTTAAGACCACTGTTCTGACATCCTCCCACTTCTTCAAAAGATCTTTAATAGCAGATATCGGCATCAATCCTCTTTTTCAGAAGAAAATGTAAAAGGATTGTTTCTATCAGAAATATAAAAGGCTGGAATTACAAGGGAGAGTTTCAAAGTTCAGGGGAATACTATCTGATCGGTATATACTGGGTTGAACGTCAATGTCAACGTCTCCTGCACTCCGAAAAGTTTTGAATTGTTGACTGAAGACAAAGGAAGACCAATCTGTATTCATTATTTTACGTCGCTTCTTCTTGTGCTTGTTCAGTGAAGTGTTCGTTGTCCGATCATAAAAATCTTTCGCGAAAGTGTTCATTATCTGATTTGTTCGTTAACCGATCACCCACTATACTATAAATTACCTTTTATAATATTGAAATTGTAATTTTTATTATAATCATCGTTTCATAGAATTTATATCTGTTAATCTATACTTATCTCTCTGACAAAAGTATCAACAAACTTCAATAATAATAAATTATTTATAAGAGTACCAAAAAGTTTTATTTTATTTAATTAATTAATACTGGTAATGTCCAATGGACAAGAAAGAACTTTTCCAATAACAAACCCTTAAATAAAAACAAAGACTACTGAATGTGCAGTCTGCAAACAATACAGTAGAAAGTATATAGAAAAACTGAAATATTGTTGTTTTCTTGTATATTGTATAATTTTATGTTTATGTATTATTGTATTATATATATACATACACTAAAACAAAAGAAATGATTTCCACTGGACAAAAAGATCAGAAAATACAAAAACAATTAAAAAAAAGCAGATTGGAGTAAAACCACACTTAACTTTAAATAAATTAATTAGAAGATCTTGTTAAATATAATTTATCATTCACAATGAAATATTTAACAAGTTTTTATATTTTTACAGGCTTTTAGAAAATTCATTTGAAGAACTTGTTGCATTTCAAAGAGCATTGAAAGAACTTGTTTCTGGTGTAGATACTACATATGCAAAGCAGTTTGAAGAATTTTATATTGGATTGGAAGGAAGGTTTGTATATTTTTAAAATTTGTTCAATGAATGTATAGATTTTGATTTTAATTTTGAATTGCTTAATATGAGAAACAAAAAGTCCTAAAAGAATATTAGTTTATTAAATGATTTGTCTGAATATTATGTATCTAACTTTACTGACTAGCATCACCATATTATATATTTTTTGTCACACACAATACTATGAAATGCTACTTTAAAAATTTTAATAGTTTCTCAGTTAATGAAGAATGCTCATTCACTAATTGGAACTTTTAACTGAGAATTGTGTCAAATTTTTAATTTAACAAGGAAGCAAAAGAAAACAGTTCAAAACTTTTCTAAATTCTAGTAGTAAAACTATATTTTTAATATATTGTCAATTTCCTATCTTTAAATTCTGTATCTGAAAAAATAAGTTTGTAATTAATGTTAATTATATAGATGTGTTAAAATTATTTTTATCATATTTAATTTAAATCAATTAAAATTTTGGTTATTACAAAATGTTGATTTAATATTGTAAGTATCTTTTCCAAATAAAAATACACAATTTCATTATAGTTTTGGATCGAAACATGTAACACCTCGTACTCTACAAGCTCGCCAGCTTGGAAGCATTGTTTGTGTAGAAGGAATTGTAACAAAATGTATGTATTTTCAGTAAAGATAATATAAACTTTAATATAATATAATTTATAAAATAATATAAACTTTAATTTGATTAAATTTAATTTAGGTTCTTTGGTTCGTCCTAAAGTTGTCCGTAGTGTTCATTACTGTCCAGCAACAAACAAAACTTTAGAAAGAAGATATACTGATTTGACTTCATATGAAGCTTTTCCATCAAGTTCTGTTTATTTGACAAAGGTTACTTTTACTTTCAAAATTATTAAATTGTTATTTATAATATATAAATAACTAAATTTCAATGTAATACAATATACAGTAGAACCTTGTTAAGAAGTTTTTGAAGGGACACAGTAAAAATACTTTTTAGGCAGGAAACTTCTTATGCAGGAATTGTAAAAAAAAATAAATTTTTATTTGTATATTCAATTTTTTATCAATATGAAGGTAATATATTGTAGTGTAGTGTAACATAGTAAAATATAGTAAGATGCATTGACTATAGTAGGTGCTTTATGGTGCATGTATGGTGTCAATATGACTTGCCAACAGTTAATGAACATCACCAGATAGGGAGTATGGTCAAAGTAACATTATGATCCTAGCTAAATTAATGACCATCTCAGGTGTGCAGGTGTTTGATATACAATATGTTGAACATCTGGAGTTATTTTATTAAAACTTTACTATTTTTTATAAGTGTTAAAGTTATGATGAGGAAAAAGATTACAATTTGTCTCTAGTGGAAACTTCTTAAATGAGTCAAATATCATCAGTGGGACCAATATTTTGGAATTTCTTACCTGGGGAAGCCTTCTTATGCAAAAAATTTTAACACTCATCTTATAGTGTAAATGCTGAAACTGGAAAATTTAGACTTCTTATATGGGAAAACCTTTCATGTAGAAACTTCTTAAACAGGTTCTACCATATATATATGAATTTTAACACTCATCGTAATTCTATATATATGAATATATAGAATTATGATTGCCATGCCAAGTATTATTAATAACAAATAATGCAATTTTTGGGAAATTATTTTAATTACTATTAACAGTAATTAGATAATTAATATATTTGGATACTTAAACTGTTTAATGGACCGAAAGTTTTCACTACAAGTGGGTGTGCTTCTATCAGCAATAAGTTTAACCCTTTAAAATCAACATCCCGAAAAACCTCGGGCAAGTTCCATAGAGTTTCATAAAACTCGGTACTTTCGGCCCTTTCCCAAAATTTTTTTTTTTTTTTGAATTTTTAAAATGTTTTTTAGGTCCCCAAATTTTTTCAGAATTTTTTGTCCGCGCGAAAAAATTTTATCGCGATTTTAATGAGCCTTTGTTAAGGCTCAATTGTTTTTCAATGGGAGTTTTTTATCAAATTTATTTCATGGTTCCTAAGTTGTAGCGCACGGATTTTTTTTCGGTAAAGTTATTAAAAGCTGCTTTTTGATGTCAAAAACGACCTCCGATAGTTTTTTAATTTTTTTAATTAATATATTTTATTNTGAATATGTCGAAAAGTAGTTTAAGGTATGTAGATTTTTCTGTAATAAAATACAAATTGCAAATCTTTTTTAATACCCAAATGGTACTTACTTTCTGGATGAGCTTAGTAATTTTTGAAATTTATAAGCAGATATCAGCATGATTATTTATTTTGATGTTGTTTAATCATTAAATAATTTTCAAAAAATTATCAAATACAGTGGTGCCTCATATAACGTACTTAATCCGTTCCAGGTGCATATTCATTAAGTGAAAAGTCTGTTATACGAAACGCATTTTCCCATAGAAATACATGTTAAAACATATAATTCGTTCCATAAAATAAATAATACTGTACCATAAAATAAATGAAAATGGAGCAGTCACGAATTATGCCAGGTAGTCAGATGTTGTGAGGAGGAAGTGGAGGAACACTTTCTTTACACATTCATACAGATACAGACTTTTTACACATTGCAGCAAGTCTCTTTTTATTGTATTTTAATCGAAGTCAGATTCAGGAGAGTCTAGCAGAGCTTGCAGGGTCATCTCCTCTTGTTCCATCCTTTGTTTTTTGGCAGCTTGCTTCTTGAAAAACATGTCCAAGGTGGTCTGCTTCTCTCTCTTCTTCAACACCTGTCTGAAATGACGGGCAAGGGTGTCATTGTAGAGATCATTGATCCTGTTGACCTTAGCTCTGTTTGGATAATGAGTGTTGGTAAACTCCTGAACCTCTCCCCATTTGACAAGGAAGTGTTTGTCAACTTTCACTCCTTCTGATTTCTTGCTTTGTTTCAATTGAAATCACCTTTCTGTTTTTTAGAAGCCATTATTTGCACAACACTTAAATAAATGTAAATACCCTGCACTGAGATGATGTACAGTACTGTACATAATAAACAAGGGAGCAAGTTGAATTCCAACGGGAGCTCTGTACTTCAGATATAATAATAATATATTCTAAAAATACTAATATATTATAAAAATAGCAGATTGTCATTGGCAACAGCAAAAGAGTGGAAACATCATTAGCACTTGTTCACAGAAAGACTGTTGTTCACCTCATGTAATTGCCGAACGGAAAGTCCATTGTTCGCAGCCAGTTCGTTGCTTGAGTCACATAACGGCCAAACAGAAAGTCTGTTGTTTGCAGCGTGCGTTATACGAGGCACCACTGTATTTGACAAAATTTAATATTTGAAATTTACAAAAGAAAAATTTCAGAAAGCTAGAAATTAGAAATATGAGGTAAAAGAGAACATAAATACAGACTACATACATACATATGTAAGTCTTTCTTGTACATATGTTTTATACAAGAAAGACTTTGGCCATGCATGAGGTGTTTAGCTGGCGGAAAAGAGGGTAAGGGAAAGGGGGAGAAGAAGGAGGGAGAGGAGATAGCTAGTAGAGAAAGGTAGGATCCCTCTGAATGGCATATATATGGCTACAGTACCCTCTATGTTTGATGATGGCATGCAGTTTTTAGGCTGCAAGGCCATAGTCCCCCGAGGGGTCTAAAAGAAAACCTGAGTGTAACAAACACCAATGTTTCAGTGCCGCCACGAATAGCTAAGTGTAGAAGTTAGTGCCAAGTGGCTGTTAGTAGGAAGACTTATAACTACTTAATACTAATGAAACTGAACATGAATGCAAATCTTAATACTACTTAACAGCTAGACAGACAGTGAGAAAAACAAACAAACACAACAACAAACTAGACGAGATGAATGGACAGACAAAAGACCAACAACCAAGACCCCAAATTTTTTTTTTTAAACATTAACTTACTCACTAAGTTAATAAATACAGACTACACAAGAACTAATGTAAAATTGGATTAAAATGCATCCTTTTTTTCCATATGTTATAATGAGGTATGGGTGAGATATTGGGGCAGTTACAAGTATGGTACTTTACTTTTCTCCAAAGTTATAAAAACATATGAATAAAATCAATAAAACAAATTAAAAGAAATTTTAATTGCTTATCAAAAGAAAATTTATATTATTTTCATATCATGTTTTTCATATAAAAAGCTTCTCTGGTTCAAAATTTAATACAAACAGTCCTCTTTTATATTGAATCTGGCTGTATACATCTAAATGATGATCTTATAAAAATAAAAAAAAATCTGGGATAAAATATACGGTAGAGCCTCGAAAACTCGGCACTCAATAACCTGGCAGTCCGGATAACTTGGCCATGCCCTGGCAGGGCAAAAAAATCCTTAGTTAATTAATTTTCATTATAGACAGCTTTATGCCTCATAAAGTATTTTTCTGAGGTCTGTCTTATCAGGTAAATTACTGTACACGGTGTATTCATTAATTTTCATTTTCATGTAGTAAAGGCTCTATGCCTTCATAAAGGACGTACTTTTCCTTTGTTTAAGGGTATTTGGGCAGTTTATTCTCTGTTGTATTCTCAAGTAAACAATACATACAAGTACAGTACAGTATTTTCTGAGGAAACACTCATACTTATTTTTTTAACCCCATTCCCGATAATCCGGCATTTTCACAAACTCGGCCACCCTTCAGTCCACATTAGGCCAAGTTTTCGAGACTACTGTATTGAAAAAGTTTATCATTAAGTTTATCTTTTTTGTTAAACTTAATGAATCTTTTTTTAAAATGTACTTTTCAGATTGTAAGAAGATTTTGTCAATTTCATTTTGTATATATACAAAAAGAATCATTTATTAATTTTGTTGTTCCAAAATTCATATGTTATTCATTTTTTTAAATTTATTGTTATGTATGACAATAAACCTAAAAGTTTGAATAAATGAGGAAATATTTTCAAAACCACCTTAAATAGCTTTGTGACTATGACCATACATAAAATATCTATTTTGATGTTATTCAAAATAGAAAAGTGAAATCAATTTCATATACACACATTCTATAATCTTAACTTTATTACTAAATGACGATAATGATTCATAAGGTAAAAGTCTAAAAGTCTTTAGTACTTAACAGATGCATCCATTGTTCTTAATTCTTAGAGAATATTTCAGTAATACAAATATTACAAGTATATCTGTGGAAGGCAGTATTATTTTTCAACTCATTCAAATTTGAACATGACCAATAGTTTGAGAATGGTTTAGATGACTAAATATTAGAAAAATTGTGCATATTGGAAAATAGAATTATTTAAAATAGAAGGCATTATTTATATTTATTAATTTTTTGAATATGAATATATATTGCTTTTAATTGAGTAATAAATAAATACACAATACTAAAATATTCTCAAGTGTTTTTTTGAGTTTAAAAACATATCTTCAGGTCTACCAAGTTCATGAAAGTGAGTTTTTAAGCTTAAAAGTACTTGAATTTTTTTTTTAGTGTTGTGTATTTATTTGTTACTCTGTTAAAAGTAATATATAATCATTTACAATAAAGTGGATTTACACTTTACGTCTTTGGCTATTTATCATAAAATTTAGGATGAAGATGGAAATGTTCTTGAAACAGAGTATGGTCTTTGTACATACAAAGACCATCAAACATTTTCTATTCAAGAAATGCCAGAGAAAGCTCCTGCTGGACAGCTTCCAAGAAATGTTGATGTTATTGCTGATGGAGATTTAGTTGATAATTGTAAACCAGGTGACCGTATTCAAGTTATAGGAACATATCGTTGTCTACCAGGGAAAAAAGGAGGATTTAGCACTGGAACATTTAGGTAATACATTATTCGTATTAATTGTTTCATTTATGTATATAAATTTGTTTTAAATATAAAAAATGTTTAAAATTTTGATTACTTATTTGTTTTTGTTATGAGGTGTTTTAATCAATGATAAATTTTTAAGCTATTTTTCACTATAAAACTTAAAAATGAATTTAGAAAAATAAATCATTTATCTAAACATAGTTTTCTAAATATTGTTTTTATGAATACCAATGTTTCAGACCATTAAATCTAAAAGCTATTTGAAATGACTTAAAACAGCTACAAAAGCAATTAAAAATGTCAAGATACTTCATATGAATTAGTTTTAAGTCTTTAAGCTATGAAAATTTCTTCTTTCTACATACTTGGAGATGAAATTGTTTTTACCTCTCATACTACAAGGCAAATTTGTATAACAAAACCAGTCAAACAATTATACCTTCAGTCAATTTTGGGCTAATTTTATTGGGCTGCAATTTGAAAAACTTATAGGCCTATAAATTTCCACTGTGGCCCATCTGTCTTTCCTTAATATCAAGAACAGAGTTAGATAGATGAAATCCAAGACCAGATATAGAAACCTTAGGGGCAAGAAGACCTGATTAACTATATATGAACTTCAGATGCAAATCAAAAGTCATGTTACTTCAATTCAAAAGTTTTCCCCTGAAAACAGTTAATAGATGACCAGCATGACTCTATTGTTAAATTAAAGGAAAAGTATAATGTACAGGGGCAAGCCACTACTAATTTGAGGTGGAGAACATACATTTCAAATTAAGTAAATTAAAAATATGATTTAAAATTCCAACATTGTGACTATGTCACAATAAATAATTGCTAATGTTTAGAGTTAAATTTGAATACATTGACAAAAATTGTATTTCATAAATTGAATTAAATCTGTACATTGAAAGTTATATATTGCAAATAATTTTTTAATTTAGAAAATAGTATTTTATATTTTTAAATTAGGTTTCCTCTAGAGCAGAGGTTTCCAACTTGTGTTCTGCAGAATCCTAGGGTTCTGCCAATAAAAATTTGGGGTTCCACAATAAAATCCATTGAGTCTAGTGATAAATGAATGTGCCAATGAAGATTTGGGATGTAAAGTGTAACTGTTCTAATTGATCAAGTTGTTGTATGATGATGTGAGGACTGGATCCAAGACTAGAACAATTACACTTCTCATTTCCAAATCTCATTGGCACACTCATTTATCACTAGACTCAATGGAAGGTTCTGTGATGAAAATAAGTTGGGAACCTCTGCTTTAGAGCCAGGCTTCTGTAATTACATATTAGTTTTGAGTTCCAATGTGGCAATAATAGATTATGTTTGTGAGGTAAAGCACATTATTTTCACAATTATAACCTATGTTTTTATTTTTTAGATTAGTTTTCTTAAGATTTGATGTCCTTATGATTATCTAATAGATCAAAATCAAGAAATAATATTTTGATTTGTACGGTATTATTCATACTGCATGAATTTAATATTAGTTTCAGAATGTTATAAATTTTACCATTAAATAAAAGTTTATGTATTTAGTTAAAGAAAGTAATATTTTTTAAATTACAGGACTGTTTTGATTGCTAACAATATTAAACGAATAAGTAAAGAAATATCTCCTGCTATATATGCTGACGATGTAAAGAAATGCAAACAGTTCAATAAGCGTAATAAGGTAAATTATAATTGTTATATTTTATATGCTTTAAGTTAAAACATAGTTTTACAAATGACTCTACAAATCTTTAATGAATGAATTTAGCTGTTACTTGTTAATAAATACTGCTAAAATGTAATTTTTCCAAAAACTCATTCCTTAGTATATATAAAAAAATGTTTACTTCAGTACAATAATAAATAGTATTAAATCATAATAAAATGCAAAATTTTTATTATTATTTTTGTACTTGTATAAATTTCTCAGTTTTGTTTAAATATTAGTTTTTTTTATTTGGCTCTTTCTGTCCTATGGCACCAAGAAGGTTTTTTTCATATGCATTGTGAGTTCAGCCAGACCTACTATGGGGATAACTAATTTCCCAATATCTGGGACAGATTATCTTTAAAAAATTCCTGGAGGTAATGGCCCAGATTCAATTTCAGGTCTCCCAGAGCATTAGACTGATGCCTTAACTGTCTCAGACTTCTGGCTATTGTAGTTTAAGTAGTAGAAACATTATCCAGTAATCATTTTCCAACAAAGTTTAAGATTTTAATGTGAAAATTATATAAAAGCTTTATTCTTATAAATATTTGAAAATCTAAGAGAGAAATTATGCAAGACGGAAATCTATTTATCTGCTGTTTATTTTCTATTACATTGTTTTTATTGCATATTGTCAGTGGGCAACCAGGTTTGGCAATTTAATGCATTTCAAAAACAATTTTCATATCAGTTCAACAACACAAGTTAAACTGTACAAAGTCAGCAATTAGTTACCAAGAAAATGTATAAAATAATTTAAATAGATTGCAATGCAAGCATCTATCATTAATCAGTAGGAATAAACTATAATTAATATAATTTAGTTTATAATTTATTCAATTTACACAAATAATAATAAATTTTTTGATCTGATGAGTTGATATTGGCTGCATATAATATTTTCATAATTTTTATTTTATTTAGACATTTTATAATTTTAAATAAGATTTTACATACTCTGGACTTAACATGTTCACTATCAGTGTAAAAACTAATTTCCCTACCAAATGGCAAAAATTTTTTAAAATTTTTTGTTTAATCATAATATGTAAAAAACATAAAATGAATTTTTGTTATTTCTTTTTTAAAAATGCCACTGTTTGTACCAATAAAAAATTAATATACAGAATACTAATATAAAAACAATGGATAAAATATATTCTTTGGAGTGTGTAATAAATGATAAAAATAAACTTTCTTTCCTATAAACAAAGAGATTCCTAGAGCAATAATATAACTAAACTTTGAAGACACACATGAGCATTCTCAAAATATTGGTGAGGCAGTGCAGGATGTTTCAGAGTGTATTTGTCACTAAATATATTAATAAATGTTCAATTAAAAAAATCAATTTATAAAATTTATTGAAACTTATTAGATAAAACTCTTGTTTTTTTAGCACGATATATTTGATGTATTGGCTGCATCTTTGGCACCATCTATTCATGGTCATGAATTTATCAAAAAAGCTATATTATGTATGTTACTTGGTGGTGTTGAAAAAATTTTACCGAATGGAACTCGTTTAAGAGGGTAGGTAAAATATGTTAATAGATATTCTATTTTTATAGTCAATGAATAATTTTCATATAAACTTCAAAAAACAACTTCAGAACTACTTTGAAAAATATATGATATAGAACAAAAACTATATTTAACCTGTCTAAATTGTTTATATAGGAAATCCTCATTAATTTGAACTCAAATAGTTCAAAATCATATTAGTTTGTAACTATACTTTTATCCCAGCTAGGGATATAGAGATTTACATATTTAAGAAGTTTGGTTAGTTTGAAATACAGCTATTTCGAAATTTGAAGTGAAAATTCTGTATGAACTGTGATACAGTTATGTTAACTCATTTTGTTTAGATCAAAATGCCTCCATAATATAAGAGAACAATAGACCAAGAACAATTCTAATCTGGTCAATATGGCTTTGTTTTTACAGTAACACGGTTTTGGGTGTCACCTTACCAATGGACTATCTTTTTTTCTCTTATCTCATAAAATATGGCTAGGTTTCAGGATTGCATGATTGGGTTACAAGTAGCAGATTGATGTACAGGGCTCTAGGCTACTGCATTTGGGCAACTTACTACTTTTTGGGCTACTTTAAAAATAATATTCAATACGTTTTGAAGAATTTTGCTTTACTTTATATAAAACCTATCTGGAACCTGCAAAGTTCTCACTGGACATATGCTGTTTATCTATGTTTTATGTATATTACTATTAATTAATGAAAATAGTGTTCTGCATAAATAACAGTATTCTGTTTGTTTAATAAATTACATCAGTTATGTGGCATTTGGCATACTGTACAGAAATACATAAATCTTAAATAATTTGAAGTTGTGATTATTTCATCTCTTGAATTTCAAACTAATGAGGATTTCCTGTATTTATTTTATTTATCACAATGTGTCTCTTTCTTGTGCACACACTCTGTGATAAATAAAGTATATACATACATGTAAAATACATAAAATGTAAATACTATTAGTACTTATTATACTAAAATATTTTTTTCACCTAAAACTAATTTTCACTTTTAGTAGCAATATTGAGAAACACTGGTGTAGACCAAAAACAATATTTTTTTATAATAATTGTGTCTTAATAAAGTTATTAAAAACCAAGATCTTTTTAAAAACGTTATACCTGCTTGAGGCTTAATAGTTGAGATACTTATTCAGAATATGTTTGGTAAATTAGCTAATAAGCACTAACATTTTACAATTGGTGAATACAGAGTTCAGTATTCTGTAATTGTTAAACAGAAATGTATAATAACATTTTTTAGTTATTGGTAATACAAATATGGATAACATATTAATATTACCAGTAGCAACAAACTTTGATGTCAAAATGAAAATATTTCATTAGCTTGTGAGATAACATAACAATTTCATTTCTAAAATCTTGTTATTTGTTGTAAAAATGATTTTAATAGCTTTCTAACTGTGCAATTGATTTCTAATTGTTTCTATGAATTTGGTTTATATAAATAAAATTGCTAAATTTCAATTAATACTAAATTACTAAATCTAAATTTTGATAGTTTTTTTTAACTATCAAAATTTATTGTTTATATTGTTAGAATTTTGACTTTTTGAAAAATTAGTTAAAATATATTAATTAACTAACAGAATTATATAATAAAAATAGTTTAAAGTCATGAAAAGAAAAGTACGTTGTAATTGTTGAGTACAGTAATACCTCGACTTACACTACCCCGACTTACGCAATTTTCAAATCTCATCAATTCGTCTTTTGTTTGAGCGCCACACAACTCTTGATTACTCATTTCCCCCACACTATTGTTCAACTTACATGTTTGGACGTGTCGTGCGGAATCAACACAAAGCTACAATTTATTTTGTGTTATTTATTTCTGTATTTGTTATATCTACAGAGACTTGAGAGACTTTCTTGTAACAATGAACGAATCAAAAGACGAGATAAGATTAACGAGAACATTTATTAGCTTACATACATCCGACTTGGATTTTACACAAATTGAGAAATTATACCCCGACTTACGTGAATTCGACTTACGCGGTTATCGCTCGGTCCCACCTATCGCGTAAGTTCGGGGTATTACTGTATCATAAAAATAAATTCTGCTTAATGATAAATTTAATAGTTATTATATTTATTATAATAAATGATTAAAATTATTAAAAAGATGCAAATATTATAGAAATTTGTTTATATTTCTTTTTGTTTTAGGGATATAAATATTTTGCTAATTGGTGATCCATCAGTAGCAAAATCTCAACTTCTTCGTTATGTTCTTCATACTGCAGCAAGAGCTATAACTACTACTGGTAGAGGATCGTCAGGAGTAGGTTTGACAGCTGCTGTCACAACAGATCATGAAACAGGTAAAAGAATATAATATGTAAATTTCTGAGAATCCAGCCTACACTTTATCAGCCTGGCAGGCTTATAAAGTCTAGGTCCAGGTCCAGGCTTTCTGGAATTAGGTTACTTTTAATATTTTGGCCATCTATTCTGTTCTATTGTATTCCTATTTAGATGTTCGATTTCAGACTGTTAAAACCTGAAGAAGGCCACTTAATGTAGCCAAAAATGTTCATTTTTAAAAATTTTTTTATTAATCTGTTTTGCTGGAAATAGTGTGGAAGGTATAACTTATTATTATTATTATGGTCCAACTATTTCAATATTTTTTAAAAAGTAATTTTTTTAAAACTATTTATTACAGATAATTTATTACTTACAGCAAAATTTTACAAATATTGAATGTTATGAAGTTGGTTGTTATTAAAAATCAAATGCAGTCAAACTTGGTTATAACAAACATTAGGGGATTGGCAAGATTTACTTGTTATATTTGTGAAGAGCAGTGGTGTAACTGGGGGAGATGGGTGACTACTAGTGTTGCAACGAATACTATATTCAGCCTCAGGCCAAATACTGAATATTCGGCCAAACTATTCGGCTTGATTAACGCTGGTATGAAAATTGGCGCGCAAACCGCATTATGGCAAGGATCCTGCTCTCTATTGGCCTGCTGTCACTATGCTTTGCCAATTACGTTAATTCTTGGCAGTTGTAGCAGATAGACAAGAGTATCATGGAAGTATGTGATAAATGATGATATCAAATGTGGATAACAATGAAATGACCTACACATGTAAATAATGGAAAAAGAACAGAGAAGGACCGCAAAGTGAAAATGTGAAAATAAATATGAAATTGTGTTGATAACATAATTGAACAAGTCGAGGCAGCTTATTGGCATGAAATTCGTGGCTTTCAAAGCCAAACAATTGTCATAGACTTCGGAAAGCTAAATGCTTGTAATGAAAGTCACTTAGTGTGCATGGGCGAAAGCCTGGGGCCATTCGGGCTACCAAGCTGTCTCGAATCTGTGAAATCATAACTGTGACTTATACTGACTCTTTTCTCCGTTACACCAGGCTGAGTCACGTAATTGTAAAATGGGAACTCTACGACGGAAAAGTGACAAATCGAAAGTATCGTGAGCGTGTATTATGATGTATGCAAAGGCATACGTGGATTAGAGCGATAGAGGAAAGAGAAAGGGAAGAGCAAAGACGAGCACTTAAAAAGAAGGATAGGCAGGGTCAGACCCTCAGATGTGCGAGGATTCTCCAACGATAGGCGTGCTGATCTTTGTAATTATAAATTGTGAATACATGTGACTAATATTATTATCTTTTTTATTTTGTGCATGTTACAAGTTATAAATAAATATAAACAAACAACACTAACTCTATAACATTAACTCTAAATACCAAAATGATTAATTTACTGTGTTTTTGTTATTTAT